ATCATCATCATCATCATCATCATCATCATCATCATCATCATCATCATCATCATCATCATCATTATTAATAATAATAACTTCCAGAATGCTCCAACACTGGAAGTTTTTAAGAAGAAACTGGACAGCCATTTGTCCGAAATGGTATAGGGTTTCCTGCCTGAGCAGGGGGTTGGACTAGATGACCTCCAAGGTCCCTTCCAACTTTATCATCATCATCATCATCATCATTAATAATAACTTCCAGAATGCTCCAACACTGGAAGTTTTTAAGAAGAAACTGGACAGCCATTTGTCCGAAATGGTATAGGGTTTCCTGCCTGAGCAGGGGGTTGGACTAGATGACCTTCAAGGTCCCTTCCAACTTTATCATCATCATCATCATCATCATCATCATCATCATTATTAATAACTTCCAGAATGCTCCAACACTGGAAGTTTTTAAGAAGAAACTGGACAGCCATTTGTCCGAAATGGTATAGGGTTTCCTGCCTGAGCAGGGGGTTGGACTAGATGACCTCCAAGGTCCCTTCTAACTTTATCATCATCATCATCATCATCATCATCATCATCATCATCATCATCATCATCATCATCATCATCATTATTATTATTATTATTATTAGTATTATTAGTATTATTAGTATTATTAGTATTATTATTATTATAGAGGAAGTGCAGCTATAGAAGAAAGAGACAATAGCTATGGTTTGGGGAAAGAATTTCTGGGAGCTATCCTTCAGCAACTTCTGGAGGACTACCAGTTCCCTATCTGGCCTTCTTTCAGGGATCTCCATGGATCAAAAATCAGAGGTTAATTGTTGAAATAGAACTGACATTGTCTGAATCCCACCACTTGGATTATATGTCAATAATAAATAGGACCCACAACACTTCTCCAGAAGTGCTGGCTCAGAAAGATATGAAGTACTTCTGAATGTACAGAATAAGAATGGACAAACCCGTTTCTAAGGTCTCTGGAGTAGGTGGGCTAAAACTTTTGATGGAGGGTGTTTAAAGACAAACCTCTAAAGGCCCAAAACTCCATTTCAACCCCAAAGAGCTCTGAATTCCCCTGTCCCCAGACCAGAGTGGTTTTTCCCATTTCTCAGAAACATTAAAAAAAATGAAGTGATCAGCCAAAGCCTTGAATCTCTTTTCTGATAAACACCAGCCGCTGCCACCTACCATTCAGCAAAGATCTGGGAAAACTCAAGGGAGCTGTTTGCCACAGGTGAAATGAAGTAGAAGAGGATGTTGGAAAGTCCAGCAGAGTCAATGTACTGATAGAGACACTCCAAAAGATCATAGATCACTCCAGAGGGGTAGCAAGGGACCAGCACATTTCCTCCATTTCGAACTGTAAGAGCTTAACAAAGACACAAGGCAATAAAAATATAAGATATACAGTTCCAATAGTGTCCAACTAAGTAAACTCACAAACATGGCATAATGGCGGCAGCTGTCCCTGTGGTTTCTCCTCAACGTGAAGATACTGAAAGATATTGTCTCTGAACACAGAGGTTTCATTAAATGGCAATAAAGCAAACAAGCATTGGCAGACTCCTCTGAATTTAGAAAAGACAGTTATGTCCACAATTATTAATTTGAAACCCCTTTGCATACATATTCCATGCATTGGGTAAAGTGCTCTCTTTTCTATGAACAGAACTAGTGCTTCATGCTGGTCCATTTCACTAATAATAGTAGAGTTTTGTATTCATTTTTTTTTGCTTTATATATTAGTAATCCTGAAAAATGCATTTTTCCAACATTTTCCCAGCTGCTCAGATGTTTCAGAAACTTTTTATGTCTTCATCCCTCTTCTATATATTCTATGTGTGGCTACTCCCAAGTCTGTATAAACTAATATTTGTTTGAAATGGTATAGGGCAGGGGTAGGCAACCTTGGCTCTTTTATGACTCTTGGACTTCAACTCCCAGAATTCCTGAGCCAGCATGGCTGGCTCAGGAATTCTGGGAGTTGAAGTCCACGAGTCATAAAAGAGCTAAGGTTGCCTACCCCTGGTATAGGGTCTCCTGCTTGAGCAGGGGATTGGGACTAAAAGACCTCCGACGTCCCTTCCAACTCTGTTAGTCTCTTATATTTTCTGTTTAAGGTTATCTCTTTGTTTATGAATTAATTTAAGTATCTAATTTTTCTCTTCAAAACTAGGGTTCCCTTGGAGAAGTCACAATTAAAACTGAGAATCTAACATTTTTTTCCTGTAAAAGGTATAGAAAACAGTATAGGTAATACAGCTGGATAGTAAAAGCTAAGTTATAAATCAGCAGTTGCTGACTTTTGCTGCCAATGGGAGCATAAAGGAATTTTGAGAGTATGTTATAGATATTATTATGGCTGTCATGGGAAGCAGGATCAGGCATAAAATACCCCATGGCGGGTACACTTCCAGAGAAAGCAATGGGCAATTATTTTCATTTTTCAGGATGCCTCCAATATAAATAAAGATTGTGCTTGAGTTTGATGGTCTTGCTTTGCAGCTTGTTAGCTTCTCATTTACTTTTTTTCCAATTAATTTAAAAAAAAATAGAATCAAGTGGGTTCATGGAGTCCATCACATGCCTAGGGAAATGCCTTGTGGGCCCTAGACTGGGTACTCAAGATTGTAAGTCAATATATATAAAAGATCTGGAAAAATAGTTTTTAACATGGGGCTATTTCTTTGCTCAGTGTAACTCGGAGTAATAGGTGGCAGCCTTTTTAGTGAAGAAATCTTTTGGCTTTAGAGAAAGTGAACCTATCCAAGATTCTCCAGGACAGGACGGGTATATAAGGGGTCTTCCTATTCCAATTTAAACTTGCTGAAATAATAATCCAAGTGTTGGTGCATTCTTGCTTCCACAGGTATTCTTTGGCTTCAACTTCTGGCTCTGGTTTATTTCTTAGGTAAGACTTACTGTTTTGTCCTTTGATTTCTAATTCCCACCTCCTGACTGACTGCAGATTATTGCTATGTCCTAACCTGACAATGTAGAGATGCAATCTCAGCGCTATTCTTTCAGTGTCTCTGGCACTGTGCAAGCTCAGTGTCCCTCGAAATAGACAAAGGGGAGACACAACTATTCTTGATCATCTCTGGAACATAAGTGTAATGGCATGAGGGAAGGACCTCTGTTAATATATGTGGGAGATGGTGGTGGAAGAGATGTACTTTCACATTTGCAAGATTGATGTCAGCCTTACAGGGTAGACCAGACTGGAAACCAAACCAGATGAGATAATCCTATTTTATTATATAGCTCCATTAACCGAATCTTGTAAGTCTGAAAGTACATCTCTCCCCTGCCTGCCCCCACCTTCTTTACAGCCCAAGAAAGTGGGGAGGGTCTCTTCTGGGCTTCTTGTCCCAGCCACATTCCTGTTGTGGGTTCAGCTGCTTTTTATCTGAGCATTCCCTTAGCTGCTTCTCTTTGCCTTTTCCAGATACCATTACAACCAGTGATCTAGTGCTTCTTATCACCCTTATCAAGTTTAGGCATCTTTTAGCTTCTTAAAATTAGTATCCACACTAGTATCCAAATTAATATCAAAGTAAAAAAAAACATTATAGATGGATCACAACTGGATTAAGTTTTACCTCTCCTCTTCTGGGATTTAATTTCTCTGACCTTTAAATATGTAGGAACGTACTGATACTCTATTTTTTTTGTCCATCAAAACAGTTATATTCTGAGAGTAAAACAAGAATCACGTACTGCAGCCTGGTGTTATGCTTGAATCAAGGTAGATTAGCTGCTATCAACAATACTGGACTTATGAGGTAGTTCTGGACTTATGAGTCTGCTATTATGGTCATAAGTCATGAATGTTGTAAAGCAGGTCATCACCAACCCAATTTTACAACATTTTTTCCAGAGGTTGTTAAATGACTCATCATGGGCGTTAAGTGAATCTGCAGTCATTGAGTGAACCCATTGTTCGCTATGTTTGCATAAAACTTGTTCTTTGGCAAAAACGTCATAAATCATGGTCATGTGCTTGCAGGATGCTGCAAATGATGGTAAATGTGGGCTGGTTGCTGAGCGCCTGAAATGCGATTACATGACTGGGAGGGGGCTGTTGAAACTTTGGAACTATGTTTTTTTTGGGGGGGGGGTCCCTAAGCAACTGGTCCCTAAGCAACTGGTCGTAAGTTAACAGTTTTTGGCATTACATTTCTGGGCTGCAAAAATCTAAATGACCACTAGATGGCAAATTAGCTCAACTCAACCCACCCCCAGAGGTCTCCTGATCAATTGGGCCACATAGTCAGGATCTGAAATCTCTCGCATTTCAAGAATCTTGCTCCATGGCACAGCTTTACAGGTGGCCCTGGGCTCTCTGGTCAATGGGAGGAAAGAACACAGAATAACAGGGTTGGACGAGACCTTGAGGTCTTGTAGTCCAACCCCCTGCTCAAGCAGGAGACCCTACAACATTCCAGACAACAGGGTTTCCAATATCCTTTTGAAAACCTCTAATGCTGGAACACCCACAACTTCCGGAAGTGAGCCGTTCCACTGGTTAATTGTTCTCACTGTCAGGAAATTTCTCCTTAAATCTAGGTTAGATCTCTCTTTAATGATCAGGTACTCTGGAGAATAAGCTGACCCTTCTTCTCTGTGACAGTCCCTCAAGTACCGGAAGACTGCTATCACATCATGCTTCGTCCTTCTTTTCAATAGACTAGACATACTTAAGGCTTGGACAGAGAAAATGGGATGAGATCCTGGGACTGCCTGAGAGAGAAACAGGAAGTAACTTAGAGGGCTGCTCTCTGTTGGAAAAGAACAGCAAGCCAGCAAAATCTCTCTGCAAGACAACGGGAGGGAGGGATGGAATCAGCCAGATAGAAAAGAGGGGGAAGCCAATAAGAACAAGACTGAAGCAAAGACAGTGTTCTGATGAGCAAAGAGAGAAAAGCAAAAGAAAAGCAGGGTTAGGACGGATCTTGCTGTGATGTTTTCCTTGCTTCTATCATCCTATACATCAGTGGTGGCAAACCTATGGCATGCGTGAGCCCTCTCTGTGGGCACGCGGGCCATCGCCCCAGCCCCGCCTCCCCCCGGGGGCCCCCTCCTCACCAGAAGCCCCCCTGGAGGAGAGTTGCTGCCTGCATGGAGCAGCGCAGCCAAGGACATAGCCAGGCAGCAGGGACAAGACTCCGCCCTCGTGCTCATAGCGTGCAGATGATGCTGCGGGGTGTGGGCGGAGGCGTGGCTGCCATGGCGCTGCAGGGTTGCCTGGGCGATCTGCGGCGGGCCATGGAGGCAGTACGTGGTCCTGCGGGCAGGCGGGGCAGGGGGCGGGCAGGGGCGGAGCAGGGGCAGGTTTTGGGGCACTCGGTGTCTAAAAGTTTCGCCATCACTGCTATACATAATTCTTCAAGTTCATTGCATATTGGGGTTTTAAAAAAACTGCCAGCTAAGTGATTACTTCACACCTTGGATTAAGAGTCTAGATTTTATAAAAAGTACTAAGTGTTTGATGGCATTCTATGATATTTATTTTCTTCCTTTCTCACTTGCTTGCTATGAAGACTTTAGAATTGCATCCCTTTAGGCCAGGGGTAGGCAACCTTGGCTCTTTTTTATGACTCATGGGCCTGATTTAGGCTAATAAACTCATCCTTATGCACTGCTTTCACTAAGACCCTAATTAACACCTATCGCCAGGAGAGGGCAGCAGAATTCCAGAAAGCTATTTTGACTAAAAGAAGCACAAGTCAGGAAACAAATCCTGGTATTGCAACGTACAGGCACACATACACATACACATACACGCATACAGTACATATCCTTCAAAGGACAAAAACTGTAGGATGGATTAAACTCTGCAAGTGTCATCATGCTGACTTTCCAGCAACTGCAGCCCAAACATGTAAAATAATTAGTAACTCATACAAGGGAAGGTTTGTTGAGTTCCTGGAATGAAATATTTCTCATAGCTAGCAGGAAGGTAGAGCCCAGGGCTCCTTTGGACTGTCATCATCATTGCTCATGAGCTCAATGGAGAATATAGTTTGACAGTGTCAAACATCAGAAAGGGCTATGTTGGCAAAAGTTGCTCCGAAATATGTAACTGGAAAATAGTTGAGATGATGTCAAAATTCTATAGAAAACAACATAATCCTGATTATAGCCATGGATCAATCAAAAAGCAAAGAACATCCTAGATGAGAAACAAATAAATGAGGAAAGTAATCTAATGCACATTTATGCATTATAGCAGAGGTTACCAATCTTTCTTGCTTGGTGGACTGGAAGGAAAGGGAGGGGGAAGCATTTTATGTGCAAGTGCATGTGCACGCGCATGGGGCCGCGATCATCCGTGTGACACAAACGGGGCGGGGCTAGTGCTTGCGTGATACTCGCTAGCCCTGCCCCGTTCTTGTGCACAGCGTCCTGTTTCTGCGCCCTGAGGTGCGGTGTTGGCCCTTTTGCGCCACACGGTGTCGCAGCATCCTGTTTCTGCGGCACGCAACGTGGTGGCGTCACGTTTTTGTGCCCCGTGGTGCGGCAGCATGCCATTTTTGCACCCTGCGGCGCTAACGCAAGTGGGTGGGTACGTGCACATGTGCGTGCACTGGCCAGGCTGTCCCGCGGCCCAGTGGCCAGCAGCCCATGGGCCATGGGCCACAGGTTGGGGACCTCCGCATTATAGGGTAAAGGATATAAGACTCTCCATAAGGAATTCAATCACAGGTAAGCATCTGAGAACATGCATAAGGACCTGGACAGTGCATAGCCTATTCAGTCTCTTCAGAGTGGAGCTGGACTGAGAACTGGAGCTACAACAGTTTGGTGTAGTGGTAAAGGTGCTGGACTAGAAATCAGGAGATTGTGAGTTCTAGTTCCGATTTAAGTAGAGCTGGCTGGGTGAGTTGGGACCAATCAGTCTCTCTCAGCCCAATTCACCTCACAGGGTTATTGTTGGGCAGAAAATAGGAGGGAAGAAGTATCATGTAGATATCACCTGGAGTTGTATAAGGTGAGATAATAACAATTACAATTAATATAAAAGTCGACAAAGCTTAGCCAGCTGAAAGTGAACAGAAACACACCTGAACTAAGTAGGATATGGCACTCTTCCCACTTAGAAGATCTAATTATATTTATTTTTATTTTAATAACTTTATTTTCTTGCAAGTTGCTGTGACACCATTTGATAAAACAGGTTATAAAACTGGGCAAATAAAATGCTTCTCCCCTCCCGATCACATGGACTATTTCAGGCAAACTGGAAAATTATACTGTTTGCACCCATGACATTGTACAGCTCAACAATTATCAGTTTTGCTGACAGTGAAAATTAATTTGCTAGCTAGTTCTAAATTTGTAATCACAGCTGTGGTGATACCTATCTATAAACCAAAAGAAAGGAAAAAAAAGAAAAGAAGTTCATACCAATTTTATAAATGGAAATTATAGGGAATTGTTGATACGTTTGGTTGTCCTTGCCAAGGGTTGTAACAATCAGCAGAGAATACAATTACTTTATGTAAATGGAGACAAGGGTCCATAATAAAAATAACTCAAAAGCCATTGCTTAAATAAAGAAAAAATAAAACGCCAGTCTGGACTATGGATGCTGTGCATAATAATTAATACCATTAGAAGAAACATGAATTAATTAAAAAGACATACCTTCATATGCACACACATATAATATCAGTCCCTTAAATGAAAATCCAAGAACAAACTCCAAAATAGACTTAAGAATGTTTAATATAATTGAAATGATGAGATTCACGTATTTTAAATTCTGTTTCAATTACAGCCCCCTTTCCACACTGGGGAAGGAGAGATTACTTTGTTTCAACAAAGCATTTTATCCTGGGCAGTCTCCGCTACAGTACCCTGCTGCTTCCACCCAAATTTTATTGCTACCTATATCTATTTTTACCTCCTACCTAAACCATAATGGCAGAGGATGAGCATAATAGCAGAAATAAAAACCAACCCCTAACACAAGAAATCAATCCAAATTCTAGTGGGGAAATATGCCCTTTAAAAAATCTTCCTCTCTAAGGCTACTGAAGTTCCCTCCGTTCTTGACTGCTGAGGGTTCATAAAGAAATAAACCACTGCAGCGACCAGGTCTCTACCCAACAACAACCCAACCCTTCCCTTCCCCATCCCTTCCCCATCCCCATCTCTTCCCTTCCCTTCCCTTCCCCATCCCTTCCCTGTATGTTTCAAATGTACATAGCTCCTCTGGAAAGTTGCTGCAAGTGAAATTCCATCTCCTTCCCCAAACCTTGAACTTTTCAGAAAAAGTAAGGATGGGGAATGAGTTGTCTGAGTGCTTTGGAACCATTTTGGAGTCTAAAGTCCTATCCTCAACATATTCTTGGGAGCAAAATCAGTATCAATGGCAGATTTGGAGCAACTGTCCCTTCTCAGGATCACTCATGCTTTGTCACCTTGCATGCAGGTTATTGCAATGTCATCTACCTGGGGTTGCCCTTGAAGACCACTCAGAACCTCCAGCTGACCCCGAAGAGCACCAGCGTTGACAGTTATAGTTGTGCCTTGGTATTGCGCCTCTTTGAGTTTCTGGCTACAACTGTAAGATCGGGTCGTCACCCCAAAAACATTTCATGGCACAAGGCCTGGATAGCCGAGAATCACCCTTTCTGTCATTGTTTTTGACTGTCTCATAAGATCGGATAAATGGACTCACTTTGCGTTCCATCAATCTAATAATGCCATCTGATGGAGCCTAAGAAGCAGGCCTTTTGTCACGATATCTGCCCTTTGGAATAGCATCTTCCTAGAACAATGTTTTTCAACCTTGGCAACTATAAGAAAGGTAGCCTTCAACTCCCAGAATTCCTTAGCCAGCATGCCAGCAAAAAAATGGCAGGAGACCTGTGCTTTTGCATTGGAGACAGCAAAATAGAAGGTGATTCTCTGTTATCCTGCTTATCAGTTTCCAAGAGACATGTGTCTGGTTACTGCAGAAATATGAACTGCTCTGATTTTGCAGAAAGATTTTTTTAAAAGGAGCACAGAGTAATCAAAAACCACTAAACCTTTCTCCATCTTTTCCTACCCCATAGCAGAGAGACAAAAGATTGTGTAGCAATTAAACCAGAAGACAAATCCACAAGCAGACGTACAAACTCAGAATGCTGAATTTTTATAAAGCCAAATCCCTGATCCATCTAGCTTAGCACTCACTACTCTGGCAGTTTTCCCAATACATTTTTAGATCATTGTCCTCAGTCTTAACTGAATCTAGGACATTTTCCATGCAACCTGTGAAGTGCACTATTAAATTACAGCCTCCCAGATTTCTTGCTCTTAAGCCAGAAGCTGGGAAAAAGAACAGGAATTAATCCCATATTATGCAGAGGTGCTGCATGAAGACCAGCCTCCAGAACTGCAGGCGCATGGCCAATGTTAATCAAAGACAGACTGCATTTCTGGATTTGGGGTCATGTCCCCTTTTGCTTCTGCTGATTGTTCAGTGATCAAGCGTAGGAAAAGGGATAACTGGCAAAGGGAAATAATGCTTCCAAAGAATGCAAATGGATTTTAAGTTAGCAAAACAGAAGATGGCGTAAGATTGCATCTTATGATTAATGATTGTAACAATGACTTATGATCTATCACTTGTCACTTTGTTGTTGTATGTATGTACACTGAGAACTTATGCACCAGAAACGAATTCCTTGTGTGTCCAATCACACTTGGCCAATAAAGAATCCTATCCTATGCTATCCTGTCCTGTCCTGTCCTAACCTAACCTACCCTGAGATTCTCTATAGAGCTCCATCAAAACAGAATTTACTGGCAGCAATGTTGCTAATATTTAGCGGAGAACAAAGAGGAGCAAATAACTTAATCTCATTATGCCAGATCCAAAATAATTTTCCCCTCCCACAAAGTACAATTTTCATTTCTTGCTAATTATATTTGTGAGAGAGACAAAGGTGACCTGTAAAAATACCATCTGACCTATGCCATAGAAGGAGAGAAGAAGCAGTCACTTGGATTGATTAAATGAGCCTTAGAGATATTTCCTATATACTGCGTATATTTCCCGAGCCAGAATTCAAAGCACGCAAAACCACTGCCCAGCCACCTACCAAGATTACTGCAGAATTCGCCCACCATTCCATCTGGATTGGCTGTGGGAATCTGGGTGAGTCCAGTCAGGATGAGAACATCACTGTTTTTAAGAGAAGCCTGGTCCATGGGCTGAAAGGAAAATTTGAGAAAAATCATTTATGTAATAAATGGGAAGTGCTATCCATCTTAAACAGTGGCTCTCTAGAAGGCAAAGAAAAAGACAGAAATACAATAAATAGAATCAGTTAAACCTGGCAAGGGCCATTAAAAATTGCTCCAATGACATATACATGCACATACCAGCCTATGCTAACATCCAGGCCCCAACGCCTGAGGTAAAGCCAGGTCTTCATAGCCTTCCAGAAGGCTAATGGGGTCAGGATCATCCAACTTTTGGAGGGGGGCACCAAGACAGAGAATACATGCTTCTAGGTCTCATCAGGTGATATTGTTTCACCGAAGTGACCTAAAGCATG